GGCTGCTCATTGTGGCACCTCTGTGCCCACACTGACAGCTGGGATTGGCAACACAGCTTCCTGCAGCTCCACTGTGCTCACATCCATGAGAAAGGCACATTTTAGGAGATGTCCCCAGCCACCAGCTGGGAACACCAACCTCCTGCTTCAGGTGGGCCCGAGGATGCAGGAGGTGTGCAGCAGGCAGAGGGGCACAGCAGGAGCTGTGTCCTTCACCTGCACTGCAAGGGAAGAGCTCAGAGGGCTCCTGCTGTGGGGCAGGAGAAGGAATCCAGGAAGGTGGACAGCACCTGGCTGTGTGTGCTGACACCTGGAAGCCCCCAGACCTGGGCTGATCCCCCAGAGTGGGCAGCAGGGCAGGGGGATTCTGTCCCTGTGCCCAGGTGAGAGCCCACCTGCAGAGCTGCCACCCACGGAATAAGATGCTCTTGAGCATCCCTTCCCACCCATTCCATCCCTGGAAATGTCCAGGGGAGGTGTGGCAGACAGTACAGCCACAAGTTGCTTGTGCCTGGGTGAGTCATTGTCTCATACAAAAACCCACAAAGGTTTGAAGTTCCTCCTGAAAACCTTGCAGGACCCACTGGGGACTGAAGTTGCAGTACGTCGTGACCACAAAGAGCTTCATCACCACCACTCTGTGGCTGAAACAGGCGAGTTTGGGAATCCCCCACCAAAACATGGTTCAGTACCTTAGACACCCTGTAGAGCAAAGGCCACTGCTCAGAAACCAGCAGCACCTCAGCAGCAATTTCAGGGCTGCTCTGGCTGAAGAGATGTCAATTCAGCCAGAGCAAGTCCCGGGAGTGGCACCAGCTCATCACTCATCAAAACCCTCCAGCACGTCAGAAGTGTCCCTAGAAAGCAGCATAAATCCCTTCCCCTCATCTCATTGCTTAGCACAGGGGAAAAGCTCAGCCAGGGCTCGTGAGCTGAGTGGCTCCCAGTTAATCCATAAGCACTGCTGCTGTCTCCTCCAACCACGGCACTTCTCAGACCACGAGAGCTGCAAGGGGCACGCTAAGCTGGGCAGTGGTTCAAAGCCCTGAATTGTATCACAGAAAAGGAGAAGGAAGAAGCAAACCACCTCTAACTTGGAAATCACAGAGTCTAGGAGGTGCTCAGCAGGCGCCAGGCAGCACCTTGGGAAGCTCCTCGTGTTTAAAGGCTGTCTCAGAGCATCTAAAAGAGCCCTTGGGGAAGGAGTTAAGTGATTCCAGAGCTGGGCTCAAAGGCTTCCCCTCCTTCTCACCCCTCCTGCTAAGGAGAAGCTGAGCTGGCAGCCTGGGGGGTGGCTTTTAATCATGGTGGCCTTGAGCCTCAGGGCCACAGCCCAGCACCAAAACGCTTCCCTTCCTGCTTCCCTTGCTCCCAGTGGTGTTGTTCCATCGGTCTGAGCTGCCATCGGTGTTTCTGAACACCCTGCAGAGATCTCTTCAGGGCTCCTGTTTGCAGAGCAGCCTAGAGAATCCTGCCAGGAACAGCTTCCAGCCATCTGCTTCCCACGGCCCAACATCTGCAGCCTGGCTCCCCGTGGCACTCCCAAGTCTGGAAAAATGGGATTTCTGGTTGAGGGGCAGAGCAACCTCTTCTTCAGAGCACAGATGGGACCAGCAGCTGGGTTCCCACCTGGAAGAAGGGTGCAGGAAAGGGAAGAGAGCATCCAGAAGGAAAATGCTTTCCACAATAAATGGAAATGGCTGAAGCCTGACCCTTGGATGCAGTGCCCCAGGTCTCCAAGCTCGCCTCTGAACATCCTTTCCATCTAACACTGGAAATGAGGAATAGAATTGTTTTCCTATAAGAAAACCCTTTAAGAACTTGACTAATTAAATGTGGGAAGGATTTTCTACAGATGGGGCGTGCCAATAACACGGATCAGAGGCCCATTTGCTGCTCCCCCACCCAGGATTCCCACCATCCAAATGCATGCAGTATCCATACTTTTCTCTCCTTAAAGTGTCAGCTCTGATAAACAGCATTTCAAAGGACATCTTTACGCCCCTTAAGGCCACCACCAGCTCCTGCTCAGACACAAGGACACAGAATGGAAGGGTTTGAGGGTTTTTGGAGCAGCAGCTTTGCTATAAAAGGTCCTTCCCAAACTTCATTTGAGTTTCCTCTTGCTGAACTCACGCAGGTTCCAGAAGCTTCTGGGGTGAACCACCAGCATGGTCCACCTTTGGACTCAAACATGACATGTGTCACCACCTTCTCTCTCCATTCCTCCTGGGCCTCGGGTAAGGAGTGGCATTCCCACCTCCTCCTTCGCTGGCACTTGCCCCAGACCAAGATCCCTGAGGATAAGATCCCAGGAATGCCTGAGGCCCACGAGGCATCATGACAAAGCCTGGTACTTGTGCTTCCACCCAGCTCACACTGGGAGGAAAGCAGGGGAGCAGACACCCACGTGCAGCCAGAGCCTCCTGCACAACACTTGTCACCACAGCACCTTCCCTGCTCCTATGGGACCTGGATCAAAGAGCCACGCAGGGATCATGGCCCCTGGAATTGTCACCAGTGGCTCCATCACACCAGAGACACCAGCAGAGGACAGGATCCCTTGGGGCAGAGCTGGACCACATGGAATCACAAGCAGCTCAGACAAGGCTGGGAGAGAAAAGGCTACAGAGAAGGCAGGGCACGTGACTGGCATACGGAAAGACAGGGACAAACCATCAGAGCTGGCTGCAATGCCAAGGACACGTGAAGCTGCAGAGCTCTGTCCTCACTAAGAATCATCAAATCCCAGAATGGTTTGGATGGGAAGGGACCTGAAAGCGCATCCAGTGCCCCCCCTGCCATGGCAGGTACACTGCCACTGTCCCAGGTGCTTCTAGCCCCATCCAGCCTGGCCTTGGGCACTGCCAGAGATCCAGGGGCAGCCCCAGCTGTGCCAGGGCCTGCCCACCCTGCCAGGGAACAATTCCTCATTCCCAACATCCTATCCAGCCCTGCCCTCTGGCAGTGGGAAGCCATGTGTCCTGTCCTTCCAGACCCATGTCCAAAGTCCCTCTCAGGCAGAGGAAGCAAAGCAGAACAGACACCTCTGTGAACACTCCCGAGGCCCCATTTCCCTCTCTCCCATACATTTACAGAAGGAGGGTGCCCAGAAGCTGGCCACAAGGCCATCTGCAGACAGCTGTTAAGAACTTGACCTCTGGCATCCAACTGCAAGTTTCCACTCAGAAATAGCAGGGCCTGGCTGCAGCTTTCTTGGCAGGGACACCCCACACCTGACAGTAACAGAGCGTTGGCGTTTGGCACAGGACATTCAACACCCAACCAGAGCAGGGGCCTGGATTGCTTTTCCCCCGAGTGTTTTGATTACCTTTCTCCAGCACCCACACAAACCCACGGTCATTCCCTGCCTCTCTAAACACACTGACATGTTCCTGATGAATCCCCACACAGGCAGCCTTCCACAGGGAACCTCCTGCAGCCTGACACATCACCCCAAGTCCATTCCTCTCCACCTCACCAGGGTACAATAGCAGTGTGAGCAAGCCCTGGCCACCCCAGCCCCCACGGATGGCTCCAGGAGGAGCTGTGCTCCCTGAAGGCCTCAGACTTGTCCTGATTGTCCCACACTCTTAGGTGACACTCCATGAGCCACCCTGGAAGGACGACTGGAATGTGGGCCCACATGATGGGCCCTACAACAAGAGCAAAGCAAAGAAGGTGAGGTGAAGCCTTTCTACTTCACAGCTGGTGTGGGAGAAGAAACAAATATGGAACACACCCTGTTCTCCACATAAACACAGGATCCAGCATCCCCCGTGTTCAATAAGTCACCTACTTTGGCCCAAAATCAGGCCCCAGGGATTTAAATGCCACAGCAGAGCCTGGTGGCACTGCCAGTGCTTCCTTCAAGGTTCCCAGCACTTTGAACAAGCCACAGCTTGGCACAAGGAGACGGGAACGATGTGGGTTCCATGGGTGTGACTGCAGGGAGCAGCCATGGGGCAGGAGCACGGCAGCCCTGATCTGCACAGCTTGGCACAAGGAGGCGGGAACAACGTGGGTTCCATGGGTGTGACTGCAGGGAGTACCCATGGGGCAGGAGCACGGCAGCCCTGATCTCCATGGGGGCAGTTCCTGGGCTGGCCCTGCTCCCGGGAAACCCACAGCCCCCTCGACGTCACTTCATTTGGGGGACAGCTCCAGAGCTGGCTGTGTGCAGGGACAGGTCACCACTGCCTCCCTGCAGGAGGAGAAGCTCCCAGTCACACCCTGATCACTCCAGCAAGGGGGGTCCCATGTCGCACACGCTCCCACATTTACCACACTGGTCCTTGCTGCACCCACAGCCCCCCAAATCCCGGCTCTCACTCACTGCAATTCCTCTGCCACACAACCCGGGGTTCTCCCTGCAGCCCCCCAACCCACAAACCTCGGGTCTCACTGCAGCCATTCCCCCAAACAGGGGTTCCACTGCAGAGCTCTCTGTACCCTGAAACCCCAATGTCTCACCCCAAAACCCAGGCTTCCCTGCAATGCCCCGTCCCCAAACTCCAGCTTCCCCTGCCACCACCCCAGTTCTCACTGCAGCACCCAGCCCCTGTCCCCGAGCCCCTGGCTGTCACTGCAAAGCCACCAAACCCTGCGGCTCACCGCACCTCCCACCCCTTCCGAACCCGGCCTTCGGGTCCCACCGCAGCCCCCCAAAACCCCGCACACCGCTGCAAACGCCCCCACCCCACAAGCCCAGATCTCAGCGCACACCCTCCCCACACTCGCACCGCCCTACGCTTCCCCCTCGCTCCCTTTAAACCTCGGCTTCCACTGCGGCCCCTCCCTCCGCCCCAAAGCCCCGCACTGCCTCCACATCCCCTCCCCACAGCCCCTCCGGACACCCCACCACGGCTCCATGCCCTGCCGGAGCCTCCCCTCCTCCGTGCGCCCCAACCTGCCCCGGCCGCCGCTCCCGGCCCCGGCCGCCCCTCAGCGCCGCCCTCACGGCGCCAGGCCCCGAGCGCGGCCCCCGCCAGCGCCGCTACCTTGTACTTGCTGAAGCCGGCCAGCTGCTCGGGGCTCACGTACTCCATGCTGGCGCTGGTGCTGCCGCCGCCGCCGCTCGCAGTGCTACCCGCGCTCCCGGTGCCGCCGCCGCTCCCGGGGCCGTTCCCGCTGCCGCTCCCGGGGCCGCCGCCGCCGCATCGGCCCACCCGGCGTGGCAGTGACGTCACCGCGCCCCGCCCCGCCGCCTGGCGCCGCCTGGCGGCCGGGAGGGCCCCGGGCGTGAGGGGAGCCGGAGAAGCGGGAAAAAAGATCCCAAAAAACACACCCGGGCCTGGCCTAAGCGGGAAAAAAGATCCCAAAAAACACACCCGGGCCTGGCCTAAGCGGGAAAAAAGATAGCAGCCACAGTGTGAAAAATGTGTATTTTATGATTGGATTTTCACAAGAATTAAAATGAATTTTGTATTATGCTAGAAAGTTATGCTGCATTAATTTTCCTAAGTGGTGTATTAAACATACTTTTAGGTTATAACATAATATTGTAAAAATGTGTATTTTATGATTGGATTTTCACAAGTATTACAATAAATATTGTATTATGCTATAATAATATAATATGCCATAATTAATATGCTATATTAATTTTCTTACGTGGTGTATTAACCCCGGGCCTGGCCTAAGCGGGAAAAAAGATCCCAAAAAATACACCCGGGCCTGGCCTAAGCAGGAAAAAAGATCCCCAAAAACACACCCGGGCCTGGCCTAAGCGGGAAAAAAGATCCCAAAAAACACACCCGGGCCTGGCCTGGGTCAGCGTGGAGCGATTATCCGCGTCCTGGCACTCCAGCCCCGCTAAAGGATCTCCTTTAGGTGCCAGAAAAGGCTCAAAGGTATCCCTTGTGAAAAATGTGTATTTTATGATTGGATTTTCACAAGTATTACAATAAATATTGTATTATGCTATAATAATATAATATGCCATAATTAATATGCTATATTAATTTTCTTACGTGGTGTATTAAACATAGCTTTAGGTTATAACATAATGTTGTGAAAAATGTGTGTTTTATGATTGGATTTTCGCAAGTATTAAAATGAATTTTGTATGTGTTATGTTAGAAAGTTATGCTGCATTAATTTTCTTAAGTGGTGTATTAAACATAATTTTAGGTTATAACATAATATTAAAACAGAAGCTATGCTATGTAAGATACTGTTTTAAGAAAGGACTCGCAGCAGATAGCAGCCACAGTGTGAAAAATGTGTATTTTATGATTGGATTTTCGCAAGTATTAAAATGAATTTTGAATGTGTTATGTTAGAAAGTTATGCTGCATTAATTTTCTAAAGTGGGGCATTAAACATAGTTTTCGGTTATAACATAATGTGAAAAATGTGTATTTTATGATTGGCTTTTCACAAGCATTACAATAAATATTTTATTATGCTAGAAAGTTATGCTATATTAATTTTCTTAAGTGGTGTATTGAACAGAAGTGGTGTATTAAACATAGTTTTAGATTATAACATAATATTGTGAAAAATGTGTATTTTATGATTGGCTTTTCACAAGCATTACAATAAATATTTTATTATGCTAGAAAGTTATGCTATATTAATTTTCTTAAGTGGTGTATTGAACATAGTTTTAGTTTATAACATAATGTTAAAACAGGAACAATGCTGTGTAAGATACTGGTTTAAAAAAGGACTCGCAGCAGATAGCAGCCACAGGACAGCTAAATCTTTCAGAAAAAGGGAATTTATTGCTCCCTTATCAGCAGAGAACGAACTTCTTCCCACCTCGCTCAGACTGGAAGACAGCATGAGGATTGAGAGGAAGAAATTGAGAGTGACCAGACAGAATCCTGTGTTTGAATGGAGTTTATGCATCATGTATGAGGTGTATGAATATGCAACAGGTGATTGTTTTTAATAAACATAGTTTTAGTTTATAACATAATGTTAAAACAGAAACTCTGCTATGTAAGATACTGTTTTAAGAAAGGACTCGCACCAGATAGCAGCCACAGTGTGAAAAATGTGTATTTTATGATTGGATTTTTGCAAGTATTAAAATGAATTTTGTATGTGTTATGTTAGAAAGTTATGCTGCATTAATTTTCTAAAGTGGGGCATTAAACATAGTTTTAGGTTATAACGTAATGTTGTGAGAAATGTGTATTTCATGATTGGCTTTTTGCAAGTATTAAAATTAATTTTGTATTATGCTAGAAAGTTATGCTGTATTAATTTTCTGAAGTGATGTATTAGACATAGTTTTAGTTTATAACATAATGTTAAAACAGGAACAATGCTGTGTAAGATACTGGTTTAAAAAAGGACTTGCACCTGATAGGAGCCACAGGACAGCTAAATCTTTCAGAGAAAGGGAATTTATTGCTCCCTTATCAGCAGAAAATGAACTTCTTCCCACCTCGCTCAGACTGGAAGACAGCATGAGGATTGAGAGGAAGAAATTGAGAGTGACCAGACAGAATCCTGTGTTTGAATGGAGTTTATGCATCATGTATGAGGTGTATGAATATGCAACAGGTGATTGTTTTTAAGGCTTAATCCCCTGTTAATGGGTGTCCTTTTTCAGGCTTGTGTTGCCCAGAAAAACGTACCCAGACGTCCATATCTGTTTGTTTTTATTGTCTCATATTGTCCTAATCCCAAATGTTCAACTTTTATTACTCTAATCATATTACTATTTTTATAACCATTTTATTACTATTGAACTTTTAAAATTTTACAAACAAGTGACTGGCGTTTTTCACATCCACGTACCACTCTCATCTCCCTAAGTCCTCACGGATTCCGTGTGGGAAGAGACCCTAAAGCCCATCCAGTGCCACCCCTGCCATGGGCAGGGACACCTCCACTGTCCCAGGGTGCTCCAAGTCCCGTCCAGCCTGGCCTTGGTCAGGAATGGGGCAGCAACAGCTTCTCTGGGGTGGGAGGGAGAACAAGGGGAGGAAGGGAAACTAAGAGCAAAATTGTTCTTCTCCCACCTCCCCACCTGCCCTTCCACCCCCATGCCAGCTCCTACCAGCCAGGCACCCCAGCCCTGTCCCCATCCTTGGCCAGCCCTTCCTTCCCAGAGTGTGCAGCAGACAGACGCCCCTGGAGAGTTCCTGCTGCACCTCCCATCACAGCCCGACAGCAGCAGCTCTGCTCAGGGCCCAGGCAGGGTGACACAGACTGGAAAAGGCTGGTCAAATCCCTTGATTTTCCATCTTTTCCCACCAAAATTCTGTGTAATTTTGACCTCTCTAAGAATATCTGCTCGGTATTTCTCCTGTGTGCCAAGCAGAGGAAAGGAACCCCAATTTAGCCCGTTACATTTAAATGTTCTGGGGTGTTTCACAGGGTCACCCCACCCTTAGTCCCAACTGGTGCACCCTTAGTCCCTGCTGCTGCATCCCGGTGTCACTGGAAAGCCCCACATCTAAGATTTGTTGAGGTAGGAAAAGACCTTTAAGCTGTTTGTGCTGCTCCCCACAGCAAGGCCTGTAAGGAAGGAGGTTCCAGAGGATGGCACTGAGGGAGATTTTGGCCAAGGAGTCCTGGCAGAGACAGGGAAAGGTGCAGAGAACAGCCTGGCTGTGCTGGAGAGGGAGCTGGGACAGCTGGCACAGGTGAGGGACCCTGCAGCCTCCTGATGCCCCAGCCCAGGCCTGAGGCCACCCCCCCTGCTGCACTGGGTCCTCTCCACTACACCCAGCTGTGGCACTGGGAACCCCCAGTCACTCCAGTAGCTGCACTGGGACATTCCCCACACAGCCCAGGAGGTGACACCATGGCCAGGGACACCTCATCTCCCAGTCTGGCTCCAGGAGCTGGCCCAAATCCCCTCCCAGCCCAGGTGTCCCCAGTCCCTGGCACTCAGCCCTGCAGCACACGCTCCCACGGCCCAGCTCTGGCTCCTGTCACTGGCTCTGGGTCTGCTTGGCCAGGCCTGGGCTTGGTAGAGTTTGGGCCCATTCCCCTTTTGTCCCACAGGTTCCCTCCCAACTGAGCAGCTGCAGAGCAGAGAACCTCACTGGGATCAACCTTCTCAGCCCTCCCTCTGTGTGCCAGGCCAGGCTGGGTTCCCAGCCCTGCCTCCCTTGGCACCTGCCACTGACATTGGTATGGAGGGGCTTGACAGCTGGTCTGCAAGAAAAGCTGAGTTAATAGAAGAAATAGCAATTGATGATTTTCAAGTGTATCCATAGCAAAGGAGAAGACAAGGCTGTCAGCATGGAAACAGATTAGAAAAGATAAATGAAAATTTTTGTAAGCTAGACTATGTGCATAAGTAGATGCGTATACATGAACGCAAATCACTTGTTTGAAAATTTTAAAAATTTACGAGTAATAAAAGAGTTATAAAAATCGTAATAAAAAATTAGAGCAATAAGAATTTGGACAATCAGAGAACAACAATCAAAAGGAATAGCCCTTTTCTCGCTCAGAGATGGGGCAACTGAGAGGTGTTTTAACAACTTTTCATTCTACTTTTCAGTCTCATATGAAGGGTGAGACAATAGAGGTGTTCCAATTCACACCATCACAATTAGAAGCTAACTATGTCTTAATTACAAAGCATTAGAAGTGTTTCTTGGCTTATTAGTTTTTTGCTACACTATGCTGCAGATGCCTTAAAGCTAATTATTTAAAACTACCCCTCATGGGTGCTCTTACAATGCATTTTTTTATAGTTCTGTTTCTCTAAAGTATCTAATCTTATTTGCGAGCCATCTTTAAAACTTTTCTAGCTCTATTTCTCTCTCAACAATACCTGTCTTATTCTGTGGCATTTCTAAGTTAACATTTCTTATCTCAAAGCTTGCATACAGATGCATACTGGGTGGGTCTTTTGTCAGACCTTGAGAACTCTACATAAATCTATTTCTCACATTTCCCCTCTCTCTTGGATAGAAAATAAAAAATGATGGTCTTGTTCATCATTTTTCATGCACAGTGAAGTACACAAGGCACTATTACCAACATTGCTATGATAACAATCAATACCTATAAACTTATTTTGCAAAGTTCTTTTAGCTAAGATGTAAAACTTTAGCTTTTAAACAAGTTGTCTAACTATGATCTATCATTTGTTTTAATTTGATTTGTAAAATCTCTCTGTTTTTGAAGTTGTTTGTGGATGGACAACACTGAATGGTCAGAGAAGTTCATGCAACACAGTTCTTCAAAA